ACCACAGGCGCCCGCCACAAAGCCCGGCTATTTTTTGGTTGCAGCCGTCATTGTTGTTTGGTGGGTCTGGGCTGGGGATTCGAACCTGCCACCTTAGGTTTACGTGGCTGGCGCCTTAGCCGGTTGAGCTATAGGCGCCAAGCCAATTGATGTGTTTCTTAAGACTATTTTCTTGTAGTGTTTCTGTTGTAAGAGTTATTGGTCCTATGGAAGTTTCCTAGGTCTGTATTTTACTTATTACAACCCTGTGGGGTCATTTACCATGTTTCTTTCTTTCCCCCTTTATTTCCTACAAATCTGCGGCTAGATCTAGAGGTTTGGTCAGATTCAGATTAGATTATTTTCTTGAAGACTACTTCAAATGTGGCATTGAGTACTTTGATATAGTACATAATTTATAGTTGTTTCTCAACTAGGATGTTATCAGCCACTGGTGACTGGTTCCCAAAGTCATAAATTAATCAGGGGTTGAACACTGCTGTATTAGATATGCTGTTTTTTCTTTTAACTAAACCTTCAGACATGTCCATTATGTTTATTCCACTGGATCAAATCCTGGGACTGGAGTTTCTAGATAACTTTAAGTGTTTTATGTGCTTGTTAAATTATTCTCCATAAAGTAGTATTTTCCAAGTTGCAGATCATGATCCCTTTAGTTGGTTGTACCTAGTGATTAGAATTTTTTTAAATATCAAGTAGGAAAAAAGAGGCAATATCAGATTATATCCCACACAGTTAGAATAAACTGAGTTTCATGAAATTCCTTTCTGGTGAGCGTGTGTGTGTATATAGGGTCACAGGGTGAAAAAATCACTTTTTGTCTGGTTGCAGTTGAAAAGTTTGAAAATCAGTACCACACAGTCAATGAGAGAGGATGTTCTCGGTTCCTTTACCAATACGGGGTTGAGTTTTTATTTTAATTTTAAATTAAAAAAATAATTTTAGAGACAGGGTCTTGCTCTGTCACCCAGATTGGAGTGCAGAGGCATCATCATGCCTCACTGCAGCCTCCAACTCCTACTCAAGCAATCCTACTGCCTTTGCTTCCCAAGTAGCTGTGACTACCGGTGCATGCCACCACACTCAGCTAATTTTTAATTTTTTTTTAATAGACACAGGGTCTCTCTTTGTTGACCAGGCTATCTTGAACTCCTGGCCTCAAGTAGTTGTCCCACCTTGGCCTCCCAAAGCACTGGGATTACATGCATGAGCCACTATGCCAACTCCTGAGTTTAGATTTTAATTTTTGCAAAATTCATGGATGAAATATGACACCTCATTCTCAGTTAAATATGTAGTTTAACTAATCATGAGGTCTATTGACCATTCATACTTGCCTAATGATGTCAGCTATTCATTTTCAATTGTATATGTATTAATCCATAAATTGTCTGTATATTAAGTCACTTAATATATAGGATGCCCATAAAGTCCATGTGCCAATTTTACTCTGTTAAACTACTTAAAATTTCACAAAAACTTTATGCCCACCCCATATAATATATAATGCTCTCTATATGCAGCCACATAAAAAGTATGTGTATTTTTATTTATTTATTTATTTATTTATTTATTTTTGTCTGTTTGCCTCTAGATTTCCCGTCACTGTTTATGGTCAGGTGTTTTTTCTTTTTCTTTTTGTTTGCTTGCCTGTGATGTTATAGCTGTTCTCAATTTTACACAGCCAAATTATCAATCCATTACGTATCATACTTAAAAAGTTATTTCTTATTCTCAGGGTACGTGAATGTTAATCTATATTTTAGTCAGTCTCTTACAAGTGCTACCAGTAACTAATTCTGAGTTTGGTGAGAAGTAGAGCCCTAAATTTACTTTTTCTAAACAGCTTTCAGATTATCTGAGTATTACAGATTAATCAATCTATCCTTTCCCCAATGATTTGCAGTGTCATCCCCATCATATCATAAATATTATATGTGTGTGTATATATATATATATTTGGATTATTTTTCTAGGCTTACTAGTTTACCATAAGGTCTGTCTGTCCCAGTCCCAGTACGACATTGTTGTACTTTTGTAATACATGTCTAATACATGGCAGAACATGTCCTCCCATTAATGCAAAGCGTTATTCTTCCAAGAGTTATTATTCTCCTTTGAATTATTCTTAGCTACACTCACAATTCTTCCAGATCAATTTTAAAATAATTTTATCTAGCTAAAAACTGCCAATAGTATTTTTTACTATTGGGATTGTATTAAATGGACCGCTTTTACTGGAGAGAGCTCAATCTCTTAACTATATTTAGACTTTTACTTAGTAACCCTTTCATTCAAGCTTTTTTATTATTCAATACATTTTTATAGTTTTTTAATATTAATTCTACATATTTTTTCTTGCAGTCCTGTTTTTTAAATAAAATGCCTTTCATGGTATTTTCTAATTGCTTATTATCATTATAAAAATGTTGCTAATGGTTTAATATCTATTTTGTAACTGGGCATCTAACTATGTCATTTCTTAGTTCAAATAATTTCTGATTCATTCATTCATTTGTGGTTCATTTAGGTTCTATATTATTTCTAAATAATGTTAATATATTCCTCTTTGCCAAGGCACCATAGCTTTCTCAGTTCTAACATGATATTTCTTGTTTCTATCAATTGTTTTATTAGACTGGCCAGAGTTTTGTATATTTCATTGGTTTCAAATAATACATTTTTAGGCTTAGCTTTTTTTAATCTGTGTTTAATGTAATAATTGCTGGTTTTGCTAATAATTATTAATAATTCCTTTCCTCTTCATTTAATTTTCCAAAACTTTTATGAAATTTATTTTTATTTGTTTTTTCTTACAATAAAAAGCTTTTCAGATTCTTAATTCATATTTTTAGTTTTATCCCATGCATTCCAACTGGTGCTTTCATGGATATTACTTACTAAATTCTTTTAATGATTCATTTTCATTTCCTCTTTGATCTAAGAGTTATTTGGATCAAATATTGTACTCTTATTTTTTTAAGTTTTGTCCTTCACTAGTAATTTTTAGTTTTGTTGTATTATGATCAGAAAACATAACTTACAGGTTTTCACTGACGTTTTCTCTGTTGGAATCTTTTACATCTGAAAGTGTCTCTTGTTCTTCTTCACCTGGTGTTGAATTTTTGTATCACAATCTTTCCTCCTCAAAAAGGTAAATGCTACTTCCCCTTCTGACATTTATTGTACTAGATTAACTGCAGTGTCAATCTGAATTTTTCCTTTCATGATGACCTTTTAAGAATAGATTGTTGTAGAAATTCTACCTCAGAAATTCAAAAATTTTTACCAGCCTATTTTTAGGTATACGTTTCTATTTTGTTTGTTGGGTTTTTTTCAGTGAAGCTTTTGAATCTGCGTGCTGTGGTATATCCCTTTGCGGTGGTGACCATTTCCTCTACTATGTCTTCTGATTATGACTTTCCCTTTCATAACTTCCCTCTTTCTAAAATTATTACTTTGTGTATATTTTTAACCTTTGAACCTTTTCCTCTGATTTATGGAAGCTTTCTTTATATCACCTTCATCAGTGATTCAGTTTTATGCAGGATCTAAATGTCAAGTCTCTGCCTTAGCTGGACTTTTTTTTTTGGTATTGACAGAGTCTCATTTTATTATCCTCGGTAGAGTGCTGTGCCATCACAGCTCACAGCAACCTCCAACTCCTGGGCTCAGGCAATTCTCTTGCCTCAGCCTCCCAAGTAGCTGGACTACAGGTGCCTGCCACAATACTCAGCTATTTTTTTGTTGCAATTTGGCCAGGGCTGATTTGAACCCGCTACCCTTGGTATATGGGCCCGGTGCCTACCCACTGAGCCACAGGCACCACTCCGTTAGCTGGACTTTTTTCAATATAATTATCATGTTTTTCATCTGAAAGAGTGATCTTAAGGGAAAGACATGCAATAATCTCCAAAGTGTTCTCTCCTTTGAGAGAGTAACTTAGCTTCAGGCTCATTTACATTGATCCCTTAGACTCAAGACTTTTCTGGATGCCTGAATCATTCAGCAGACCCCATAGCATTTCTGCTTACTATTTTTTTCCTGGGGGTAGGAGTAGGATAGGGGAATGTTTGTCTAGGTGGCTAGAGATCGTGTGACTCTCTGTTCCAAGTGACTGGCAGGTTATTTCTTCACTCAGGATAATTTCTTCCTCAATCTGCTTCTACCCTGCTCTGCCTTACAGGAATCCTTCTAGTTTTCATGCACGTGGATGGCATCTTTCCTGATTTCCAGCACAGATCCATATTCTTCCCCCCCCCCTTTTTTTTTTTTTTTTGCAGTTTTTGGCCAGGGCTGGGTTTGAATCCACCACCTCAGGCATATGGGGCTGGTGCTCTACTCCTTTGAGCCACAGGCGCCACCCTAGTCTCCCTTATTTTAACAATTGTTTTGTTGGGTTCAATTGGTGTGGACAAGAAGGTAGGGGGGAAAAGGGATAGAACTTTTATATGCAGAGAGAGGCTCAGATTACCATCTGTTACTAAACAGATAACCCTTTGGGCAATTGGACTATTTCATGAGCTTCAGTTTACAAATCACAGTAACTTGCCTTGAGTCCTTCTTTCAGGTGTCCAACGTGGAAGTTTCTGCTTTACTCATTCTGTCTTCACCTCATTCTTTTTGGTTTTGTTCACAGAAAGGTGTAGACAAGGAGTTCTATTTGTTTCCCACAGTATTTGATGAGAACGAGAGTTTACTTCTGGATGATAATGTCAGAATGTTCACAACCGCCCCTGATCAGGTGGACAAGGAAGACGGAGACTTTCAGGAGTCCAACAAGATGCACTGTGAGTACCTCGTCACCCGCCGCTCGTGCTGCCAAGCTATGTCAGCACCGCATTTGGAGTGCTTTTAATTGAACCAAAGCGCAAATAGCTTTACTCATTGATTCGTTTTCAGTAAGTGATTTAATGCAACAGTGCTCTGAGAGTAATACTATATATCATTGGTTATTTGTTGTGTTAGTCAATTCCTCATCATTTCACTTACTTCAGGGTAATTAGATGGACTAGATATGTCAATTAGATGAATGGTCCCTGAAGTGTGGTCCTTAGGTCAGAAGCTTGTCCCAGCAGTGCCTAGAGACTTGTTAGAAGTGCAAATTCTTGGGCCCCAACCCTTACCTGCTGAATCAGAAACTTTGGAGTCCCGTCCAGCTGTTTAACAAACCCTCCAGGTGATTCTGACGTATACTCAAGTGTGAGAACTATCAGATTAAATATGTTTCTCATCTGTGGCTCAATAATAACAGGCTCATTTGGTTATTCATTGTGTAGGAAGATATGATGATCTCTGCTCTCAAGGATAGTCAGTCTTGCCTGCACATTGGAACCACCAGAGAGTTTCTGACACTCTACCAGTGCCCCGAACAACCCCCCCAGAGATTTCTATTCCATTGAATCCTAGCAGGAGATTTATTTTTTAGCTCCCAGTATAATGCTAAAAGGTACTTAGGATTTAGAGGCAGCGAGCCCATTGTTCAAAAGAGCAAAGGACAACAGTAAAAATTATTATAACCAGTAGAATAAAAAATGTAAATTTGTATTACAAACGGATGCTTTTTGTTTTAAAGCTAGACTGAGTCACACTACCCACAGTCTTTAAAATAATTCTTCTGATTCTGCATTTTTGCATTTTGGAGGTGTCACAAATATGATCCATTGGAAATAACAATGAGAAAAGACTTCCTGCAGATACTCTTCCATTATTTAAGATGAATCAGAAGACTTGTCATCTAGAATAGCAACACATTCCCATACGTGGTGCCCAGGAAAAGCTGTTATTATTCATAGATTCGGGTGCTCCCAATCAAGACCATTGGAAGAACTGGGAATAACAGCTAGAATCTCACTGTCCCAGCTGGGAAGAACAGGAACAGTGAGACTCCCGGGGTGCCAGGGACACTGGTGCAGAATGTCCAGATCTATGCATCCAGCCGTTCTTTCCAGCGAGGGGCTGTCCTATAAGTGCTGGGGGCAGCAAGGAGTTGTAGACACACACTCCTGATACATGAGGGCAGGCAGGCCTGAACAGGTCTTTAAAAAACTTTTTAAAGAAAACTTTGCTCTGAAAGTCTGGGAGGTTGTCATGGAGCAGAACCTAATTGCTTTCAAAATGTGATTTCCCCCACTTTTACAGCCATGAATGGATTCATGTATGGGAATCAGCCCGGTCTTAACATGTGCCAAGGAGACTCAGTCGTGTGGTATTTATTCAGCGCTGGAAATGAGGCTGATGTACACGGAATATACTTTTCAGGAAACACATACCTGTCCAGGGGGGAAAGGAGAGACACAGCAAACCTCTTCCCTCAAACAAGCCTCACACTCCTCATGCAGCCTGACTCGAAAGGTATATTTCTTTAAAGCCAAGACAAGGCTCTATTAGACTGATTTGTGTGGTTTTCATTTAAAATTCTGTGGCAGAATGTGTTGGGTGATAAACTCATGCCTTTCCCAAGCCTCCTAAGTACCCTTCCCTCCCTCAGAAGAGCAAGTCTGGGCCACTCTCAGCTGAAATATGTATTACGCAAGTCTGTTCCCTATTTACTGGGAAAATGGGGAGCAAGAAAATGTAGCAGGATGTAATGTCTTGTTTCCTTATGGAATCCTTAAGGCAATTCAATTCCCTTGTAAACGACGGTCCCTTTAAAGACAGTTGGAAAATCAGACTGGAAGAGGAATGGCTCCCGTAAAGACTCTGCAGCTAACTTTCCATCACGTCTCTGTAGCCTAGATGTCGTGTTGACTTGTTTGTTGCTTGCAATTGAAGAATCTATACACGAACTGTAGCCATGCAAATTCAGAGACACCTACAGCCCTAGCTCTGAATGAGTGGGACAAACTAAAACAAAAAAGAAAGCATTTTAATCAAAATGGAAAAATATACTCACTTGTTGCAGGCTTTATTTGGTTCATATATGCCACTAAAACTTAAGAAACATCCATTGCTACCTTTTCCTTTTTTAAACAAATGTAAATACAACAATAACAAAAGAGATAAAGTGTCTCCTGGTGCTGAGATTGGAACGAAGGGAGACAGATGACAAAAATGTATATTAATACAAATATGTAATGTGATTATGTGAAAAAAAAATGGGGCAGGGGAAGGGGATGGTGACTAGTGGAGAAGGTGTCAAGGTTATCTGAGGAGGTGACAAGGAGAGACCTGAACCAAGTGAGGGCATAAGCCATGTGGATATTTTGGGGAGAAGTGTTCCAGAAAGAGTAAATAGCAAGTGCAAAGGTCCTGAGGCAGGTATACACTTGACCTGGTCTAAGAATAGCAAAAAGGCCTATGGGGTGGGAGCAGAGTGAGTGGTAGGTAGGTGATGTGATCACAGGTGTGGGAAGCCAGAACATCTAACTGAGACCATGATAAAAACTTTGGTATTGACTCTGAATGAGGTGGGAGCCACAGTGGGCTCTGAACAAAGAAGTGACATATTTTCTTTCTTCTCTTTCTCTCTCTCTCTCTCTCTCTTTCTTTCTTTCTTCTTTTTTTTAAGACAGAGTTTCACTTTGTCGCCCAGAGTACCCTGGCTTCATAGCTCATTGCAACTTCAAACTCCTGGGCTCAAGCAATCTTCCTGCCTTAGCCTCATGAATAGCTGGGACTACAGGCACCTGCCATTATGCCTGGCTAATATTTCTAGTTTTAGTAAAGACGGGGTCTCACTCTTGCTCAAGCTGGTCTCGAACTCCTGAGCTCAAGCAAACCACCCATCTCAGCCTCCCAGAGTGCTAGGATTACAGGTGTGAGCCACTACAGCTGGCACAAGTGACGACATTTTTTTCTTATTTACCACACCAGGGACTTTTGATGTCGAGTGCCTTACAACTGACCACTATGCAGGTGGCATGAAGCAAAAATACACGGTGCAGCAGTGCGGGCGGCTGTCTGAGGATTCCTCCCAGTACCGAGGAGAGAGGACCTACTACGTGGCAGCAGTGGAAGTGGAGTGGGATTATTCCCCTCGCAGGGAGTGGGAAAAGGAGCTGCATCATTTACAAGAGCAAAAGTAATTCCCCAGACTCTAGCACTCAATATGTTCAGCTGAAACTGTAGGTTCCCCATAATTCAGAAAAGAATTATGCGAAATGGTAGAACCCATCTCCTTCACTGCCGCTTCTCTTTCCTCGCTGGAAACTTCCATTTACCCCGTCTGGTTCTCTGAGTCCGTCCTCTTGACTTTATTCCTCTCGGACGGTCTTTTCACTCTTGTGCCCTCATCTTGCCAGTTTTTTTCAAACTTAAAATGAATGCCCCAACTCCAAGCTGAAATACTATCGTCCTCACCAACTGTTTTCGGCTTATTTTTCCTCCAGAGATTTCATTATTAGTCTAACTATCAGTCATTCCACATTCTTAAAACTTGTATGTACAGAGTATTTTAAATGCGTTAGGGCAAGAAGATGTGGTCTTTACCCTCCAAGAACTTACAGGAAAATATGGTTCAAAACCACAATAACAGGTGCATTACGGAAAAGTAAAAAATTCCATATCAGAAAAGTACAGGATGGTTACTGAGCTGCAGGAGAAGGACGGCACACCAGCAGCCCCGCCATGTCCAGGGAGCCCTCTGATGCTCCCCCCACCTTCCCCTCCATCACCTGGCTCACATCCCGCACTCACCCTGTGTGGATGTGATCTGAGGGGCTGGGATGGGCAGGGGTTCGGGCAGGTTGCACAGCACACCTGGCTCCCAGGAGCCAGACCAGTGCTTCTCAACTGTTTTTATCTCATGGCACTCTTGAACCTATGGCTAAGCTTCTGCAGCCACATTTAAATTGTGTTGATCAAAACAGAGCATTAAAAAAAGAAAGGGATCTACTTACTGTGCTTTGAGGTTCTTTTGAAAATAATTTGATTAATGACCTTTATTCTTGGCACATCTAAGATCCTCTCAGGCCATACCGGTAGAACTTCACTGAGCTAGACAGAGGTTAACTGGTTAGCCAGACTGCAGCGCTTGAATATGGCATGTGGTATAAAGGGGTAAAAGTTTATTTTGAGATTGGGTTAAAATAGTTAGAAGGTTATAGGAACAATTCAATGAAAACTTCAGGAAAAAAAAGGGATTGAAAAAGAGGGGCCATTTTAGTTCTCATGGACTAGAAATATTGGACTCATAAAAGGTTAGAGCTATTACAAAAAAACACCTTACAGATGATCTGATCAAATAGCTCATGTTAGGGGTCAAGAAATAGAGGTTCCAACATGTAGTGACCAGCTGGAGGTCATTTTAGCTACTGGCAGAGTCAGGGCCAGGACTCAGGTGGTCCCGTTGAGGGGCCAGGTGTGCTTTCTGCCACACCTGTCCTTAAAGTCTTGTTCTTTCTGACTGGGATGGGAGAATGATGGTTAAAAACTACTATGACGACTTCAATGAAGAGTGCATTTGTATTCAAAATTTAAAACTTACTTCTCTTTTTATTAAGGCAAATACTAATTTTCATTTTTTGTTTTTTTTAAGTGTTTCGAATGCATTTTTAGATAAAGAAGAGTTTTTTATAGGCTCAAAGTATAAGAAAGTTGTGTACCGGCAATATACCGATAGCACGTTCAGAGTTCCTGTGGAGAGAAAAGCTGAGGAGGAACATTTGGGAATTCTAGGTATGTTAAAACAACTCTAGCCCAGCAGGTGAGGGTGAGTGAGGTGACGCCCTGAGCAGTAACAGTCAATCTCTGTCTACGGGTTTCATTTTCTCATATATCAAAGTCATGTATCATTCAAATAAAAACAAAAAATCGGCCATTCAATAAAAATAAGAAGGCTGTGTCTACTAAAAATATGGTATAGTAAAATATTACTTATTTCTCTCTGAAACAATGAATTATCCCACATATGATGAAGTTGTATACATTGATGTTTGCCACATCAATGCCTGTAATTTTAGTAAAAGTTCCAAGAAACTACTTTGTAATGAAATTCTTAACCAAATTCTACCCATTATCCTACCTACCCCCCACAAAGAGTATATTTACTTTTTAAAATTAAGACATAAATGGGGTGGCACCTGTCATTCAAAGGAGTAGGGCAACAGCCCCGTATATCGGAGATGGCAGGTTCAAACCCGGACCCAGCCAAAACTGCAAAAATAAAATAAAATGAAATGAAGATGTAAAATTAAAAATTAAAATGAAGATGTAAAGGATTCATCACAAGAAGAAATATATAAGGGGAAATTAATTACTGGAAGAAAAGGAAAAGTGGAGCCGTGCCAAGGCAGGGGACTAGCCGCTTTCAGGGTTTGAGGAATCGCTTTCAGACAGAATGTCTAAGAACTTGAGCAGCACTGGTCTCGAGCATATTTTTTGCAAATTATCAAATGCAGGGACCTGCCCCTCTGACCTCACTGTTTCCACTTGTCAGAGTCCCCCTGGGACTTCTTATCCTCGGCCCTAGACTAAGACAACAAGGGGAAATGGCATTGTTGCTGCAGCACAGAAACTCTACATAAGGCAGAAATGGTAAGGTCAGCGAGTGGGTAGCAATGGAAGGGTATCCTCGCCTTTCAGACACGGCACTGCCCTAAATTCCTACTCAGGAAGCTCTGCAAGCCCCAATGCTGAGAAATGAGAGCAAGGGCTGCAGAAGGACCCCCGACCAGACATCCAACTCAGTGTGATTAGGCCAACAGCCTGCACAGGACTTTCAGGACAGAGATACCCCCTGGTCTCCATCGTTAGGGTTTTAATCCCAAATCCCCTGGGACCCAGTATAAATCCAAAAGTATTATAGCATGAAGCCACAGGGGGGAAAGTAAAATACCTGATCTTTGCTTTTTACTACAAAGTTAGAACTTTCAACTTGATAGGCATATAAGCCACTCTTCCTTTTCACTGTTCCCAGGTCCACAACTTCATGCAGATGTTGGAGACAAAGTCAAAATTATCTTTAAAAACATGGCCACGAGGCCCTACTCAATCCATGCCCATGGGGTGAAAACAGAGAGCTCGACAGTGACTCCAACATTACCAGGTACTCGTGGTGGGGGTGAATTTTAATAGACTCTATAGCCTTTGCATAAATGATTATTGTCATAGAGGTATTCCTTCCAAATGAGTGGGGCTTGAGGAAGTGAAGAGGGAGATTTTTTTTGTGTGTAATTTTTGGCTGGGGCTAGGTTTGAACCCACCACCTCCGGCGTATGGGGCTGGTGCCTTACTCCTTTGAGCCACAGGCACTGCCCAGAAGGAGATGATTTTTAAGAAGGAATGCAGAGAGGTGTCTGTGTATCTTGTACAAAAAAAAAAAAAAAAGAAAAGAAAAAAATCCACAAGAGAGCTTTAAGGAAAAATGCTGAAAGGTACTGGACATCTACAAGTACTCTAAGGTGTGTCACAGAGATGGCACCTCCCACAGTGTGCACACCTAGGGTTTCCACACCTGTCTCCAGCACACTGGACCATAAGAGCCCCAGACTAACATTTGGAATTTAAATTCCCCGTTTGTAGTCCCGTGTCTGGCGTGTACTAAGAGCTCATGAAATGTTTTTTTTTTCTTAATTCACACAGAGGAAAAGCTTAAACAGATTACATACCTAGGTGTGTGTGTTCGTCCCCTTATGTACTATATTTTTTCTTCTATGAGTTGTAAAGTTGGCTTCTAGGAAAAGACCATTTCTCAATAACTTAGTAGTTCCCCCATATATCAAGTGAGAAAAAATAAGTTGCTCTGTAGAGAGCAATGTAGAAAAAATGAGTTGCTCGTCAATTTAGGGGAGCAGAAATAAAAAAAAAAATCCCTGCCCTCGTGGCCTTTATTGCCTTCTAAGAGAGATAAACACATACATAAATAATGTCAGGTAGTAAAAAATACTATGAAAAAGATGGGCAAGGAGTAGCAAGGGTCTATTTTAGGTGGGGGCATTGCGAGGGCTTCTTTGAGGCGGTGACAGGTGCCGAAGCTCAGGTTAGTGTGTGGGAAGAGATTCCAGGCCCTGGGAAGGGAGCGAGCACGTGTATGAGGAGCAGCCAGGAAGCCGGAGGGTGGAGCTCGGCGCACAGAGGACAGAATGTTAGGAGCCCAGATCCAGAAGGGCAGGAGGCGGGAGGGAGTAGGGAAGACCCTGGCGGCCACAGTCACAACTTGAGGTTTTGATCCAAAAACCCACGTGAGGGGCTGAGGTGAAGAGTGATGCTCTGATGAACACTTTCTACGGGACTGTTCCGGCTGATGTGTGGCTAAGTAGGAAGCAAGGGCAGAATCAGGGATCAGTGGGGATTGTTACAATCTGATGGTCTGGGTGAAAAGCGTAATCAGGATTCGGAACAGAGTGGAAACAGCTGAAGTAGAGAGACATCGTCATATTCGGGTTCCAAGGTGGTGCTAAAAGGACCAGCAGAAGATTGGGCGTTAGGGGGCGTTAGGGACGAGGGGAGTCCAAGGTGACTCCAGGGCTTGGGACATCAATCACTGGCAGAAGAGAGAGTCGGGAAGGGGTGTGGAAAAGAGAAAAAAATGTCACTTGGCAGCTTGTGAAAATAAGTAAAAGTAGAGGTGGCAAGACAGGAATGTGTCCAGGCAGGAACTCCACACGTGGGAAAGGTGAGGACACAGGAACAGCTCAGACTGAGGGCTCGTCCACCACATTCTTTTTTTTTTTTTATTAAATGATAACTGTTTACATTATTGCAATCATGGGGTACAGTTTGGTGTTTTCATATACAATTTAAAATACTTTCATCAAACTGGTCAACATAGCCTTCATGTCATTTTCTTAGTTATTGTGTTAAAACATTTATATTCTACTTTTAGAAAGATTCACGTGTACCCTTGTAAGACCACATTACAACAAAGATATTTATATGAGAATGTTTATTGTCCACCACATTCTTAAAGACCATCCCAAATGTCTTGCCTGAATCCCTAGTGAAGTCTGTGGGGTTCTGGCCAGTTACAGTCTGACAGCAGGAGTGTGGTGAGGTCTGCAGAGTGGACAGTGAGTGTGGTCAGGCTTGGGGCCTGGGTGAGGTCAGATGTCACGGTCTATTCTGAACAATTGTACGGGAAGCTCTGAGGTGACTGGAAATGGAGATCAGACTGGAGAAAAGCCTGGAGCACGTGGGGTGAGGGGGAGGGCCATGGCCAGGTAGAAGGGTGGACCAACTGGCTGTCTTCAAAGTGCCAAGACCCGGGGGGTGGTTATGTCCTGTACATGACAGAACAGTCCATGGTGTGACAGACAGCCCAGAGGAGGTAAACAGAATAAATCGGTGACCTGAGATGAAGAGGCGTGATGGCTCTTCACCAGGATCACAAGCTCGCTGAGGGCGCTGGTGAGGAAAGGGGAGACTGAGGGGATTAGGGCAGTCGGAGACAGACAAAGATTATGGGGAGGTGCTAGCCAAGGGAGGAACATCACCTGGTATTTGAAGAGAGAAAACTATATTAGGAAAACATAGTTGGTGTTAAGAAAAGATTAGTTGCAAAGTTTCTTCATAATTGTGATACTGCAATTGCCGCGTCCTGGCTTTGTGGTATGGCAGGCATGTCAGTTAGGCTAATTTATAATTGCCCCCCCAACCACATAAAAGTATCTCTTAGCATTTCCTTAAAACTAAATTCCTGAAAAGAATTTCAAGTACCATTATTTTTTTCTAAAACCAATGACGAGTTCCTGGGTCACGGGTTATCCAGGCTTAGTGTGTATGTGGATACACCACATAGAACAGAATAGACACTAATCTGTTAGACACTAAACCACATAGAATAGAACCAGACACTAATCTGTGACTGATTTAGGTGAAACGCGCACTTACATATGGGAAATCCCAGAAAGATCGGGAGCTGGAACAGAGGATTCTGCTTGCATTCCGTGGGCTTACTATTCAACAGTGGATCAAGTTAAGGTAAAGTTTAAAGCATGTATGTTTTGGGACAATTCCCAATATAGACACATAGGTAAAAGATGAGGTTAGCATTTTCCTTCAAATCCCGGGAAAATAAACTCTTCTGTAGTCTACTTTAGTAGATATGCCGCTACCTGTGACGGAGAGACAAAATCTAAAATTCCCTAGTATGATGCAGGGCAAAGGCTCTTCAGGATGTTAGGGAACTTTAGACTTTGTCTTAAGTGTCACATGTGGAGGTGAAGAATGAAGAATGGCGGCGTATTTGCCTCTCAGCCGAGGACCCTGGTGGAGTGAAGGAGAGCTTGGAGGGGGAAGAGACTGGGGGACCATGGTAGGAGTTGAGCAAATTTCCAAGACCTGAATCAACTATGGGGAGGGAGAGAAGAACTGGATGGAGTGATAGGTAGGTGAGTAAATTGAGCCAGGGTCAAGCAAGTGCTCGATACTGGGTATTTCAGAATTCCGGCTCAAATAAATGAGTAGATCGGGTGCTATTGATGACAGCATTTCAGTCATCTCTGGATTTTTAGAGACTGGGATGGTGTGGCTCATCTCAGGAGGTGACGAGTGTGTGTAGGAAACAAACCTACATTGTTCATTTGGGGCTCTTTTAAACTGCCGAGCCAATTCCTGGCTCTGTGCCCCTCTGCTACCACACGCTCTACCTACCACCCACCACTCTTCCAGGTTAACTACTGCAAAGGAAAAGTTACTGAACTGGCAGCGGCGTCCTGAGCAAAGTCTACTACTTAAATCAGGGCCTCCAACATTCCTGAGGCCCCGGGTGAAAAGGTCCAGGGCTCTGGAATCCTGACCTCTGGCAGCTGACTGGGGACTCTGCTTGTTTCCAGGACCTCTACAGTGGCTTAATTGGCCCGCTGATTGTCTGTCGGAAACCTTACTTCACAGTGTTCAATCCGTACAAGAAAATGGAATTTTCCCTTTTGTTTCTTGTTTTCGATGAGAATGAGTCTTGGTACTTAGATGACAACATCAAGACATACTCCGATCACCCTGAGAAAGTAAACAAAGACAGTGATGAATTCATAGAAAGCAATAAAATGCACGGTAGGATACGTGATTCTAAACCATTTCTCTCCTTTTTTAACCCTTTTCTTCTTCCATACAAAATTAATTCCTTTCAGTTTAAAATAAACCACTTTGTACGTGAGGCAGAATTTTGTTCAGAACTAATGAGGAACTATGTTCAAAATCATTTACTAATTTCTCTCCCGCTTTCATAATCTCATTCCCTTTTCAGTAAACCCACAATTAGGATTAAGGCTTTTAATGCAAAGTGACTAGGAAAGCAGCATGTGATTTTATTGGTATTAATTTCCGTTTGTAGTGAAATAAATCTATTACATCAAAAAAATTCTTTTTTTTTGAGACAGAGTTTTATTATGTTGCCCTCAGTAGAGTGCTATGGTGTCACAGCTCACAGCAACCTCAAATTCTTGGGCTTCAGCGATTCTCTTGCCTCAACCTCTCAAGTAGCTGGAACTACAGGTGCCCACCACAATGCCTGGCTATTTTTTTTTTTTTTGATAGAGACAGAGTCTCACTTTATCACCCTAGGTAGAGTGCTATGGCATCACAGCTCACAGCAACCTCCAACTCCTGGGCTTAGGTGATTCTCTTGCCTCAGCCTCCTGAGTAGTGGGACTACAGGTGCCCACCCAGCTATCTCTTTGTTGCAGTTGGGTTTGAACTTGCCACCCTCGGTATATGGGGCTGGCAACCTACCCACTGAGCCACAGGCACTGCCCTAATGGTGAATTTTTTTTTTTTTTTT